AGCTTCTTTCAGATGATGTTTTTGCATTCTTTGTCAGGCAGACCACAGAGCTCCATTTCTTTAGTGTCAGTTATTGGTGCCTTATTTAGTTCCTTTGGTACTGTTACATATCAGTATAACATTCATGTCACACTCTGATTTTTTGTGATCCCTATGGCCTTTCATTGATGTCCATGCACTTGAAGAAATCATTTCTTCCAGCCTTCGCCAACTAGCTTCAGTAGGGAAAGACCTTCACCAGTCAACATATCCAGAGATCCTAGCCAGCTATGTGATGGGGTCCACAGGCAGGCTTACTGTTGGAGTGCTTGGATGGGCTGTCTGGTGGCTAGGTCAGTGGGTAATTGGCCTGGAAAATGGGTCCAACAGGGGCCTGTCTAATGCCTGGGTCCAGAGGGGTAAGCTTGGAGCCTAGGGGCCACTGCACTGGGTCCGGAACTTGGGTCCACCTGGGCAGGCCCAGGCCCTGGGTCTGTGGGTGCAGGCCTGGATCCTGGGTCTATGGTTGCTGACCTGGCACAAGGGTCCACAGGGGTAGGCTTGGTGACTGGGTCCACCAGGTTGGGCCTGGAGCCCGGCTCCATGGCAGCTCCATGGTGAAGGCCTACAGCCTGGATCCACAGAGGAGTCTGGAGCCTGGTTCTACAGGGACCAGTCTGAAAGAATCATGGGGACCGATCTGGCACTGGGGTGGGTCTTGAGCCTGAATACAGTGGGGCCAGCCTGCTGTTGGGACAAGCCTAGTACCTGGGTTCATAGACATGGTCCCGGTCCTGAGTCTGCAGGAGACAGCCTGGTACCAGGATCCACTGGGGAAGGCCTGGTCCTGGGTCTGTGAAGAACAGTCTGGTACCTGAGTCTGTGGAGAGAGGCCTGGTACCTGGGATATAGGGGCAGGTCTAGAAGTTGGGTGCCCAGGGAAAGGTCTGAATCCTGAGCAGCCATGGTAGGCCTGGTCTTGGGTCCTCAGAGCCCAGCCCAGAGCTGTTGGGGAGGCCAGACCCTAGGTCTTCTGGAGCCTATGGCCGTGAGAAGGTTGGCCTGGAGGCTGGGTCCATAAGTGCTGCTTGGAGCCCAAGGGCACGGGAGCCAGGCTGGCACTGGAGCATGCCTGGTTCCTGGGCTGTGGTGACAAACCAGGCATCAGGGTCCACTGGAGCAGGCCTGGAGCTGGGATCAGCAGCAGCTGGGGGTTCAGATCACTCTCCTTCTCCCTAGCAGAGGGTATTTCCCACCACTATGCACTGCTCTGCACGGACACGGAGGAAGGCTGATGCAGGTAATGTGAGACTGCCCTACCTGCCCTCTTCAATGAGTTCTTCTTATTTTTGTGCTCCACCCAGGTGATATTATCTCTTACCTGGACTCCTTAGCTCTCATAAAAATATTTTTGCACATAGATGGTTGATCGAATCAATGTTTCTCTGAGAGGACAAGCATGAACTCCCATTATATCATCTTCCTGACATTACTGCTAAACGCTTCAACCTTAATATACATTTATGTATAATTTATACATATAAATATATTTATTTTCTAAGTTACTAAGTTAATCTTAGAAAGTGATAGTTTCAAAACTCCACATCATCCTTTTTACATATGGACCATCAGGGTAGCAAAAAATATGTCTCTCCATCTGTGTCTTTAACACAAAAACAAGATATATATGTATTACATGTATATGTATGTTATATATATATATATGTGTGTGTGTGTGTGTGTGTATATATATATATATGAATGATATGTATATTTAGTATCCTATTTATTCTAAATATGTTATACAAATGGTCCTAGAGAGTTTATAAAGATAACCATAGACCTAGAAATTTGTAGAGTATAAATACAACAAATTTCACATAGTAAACATTCAACAAATATTTCAGTCAAAATTAAAATTTCTTATGAATATTCAGTATGACAGTATATCTCATATTATCTAAACTACTGCACACATAGTAGGTAGTTAATAACTTTACTAGAGAAAGTTCCTCAGAACAGAGATGGTTATTTTCCATCACCCAATTCCTGAGACAGAGATACTACAGAATTATAAATAATTTTTCTAATTATAAAAATTTACGTGCTTTGCCTTATTGTCATCAAATATTTCCTGCATTATTCTGAAAGATATTTTGAAAACAAAAAGCTGTAATATTTCTACAGTTCTTGATAATAACAGCAGGAGTCAATCTAACATAGATATTTCAGATTAATGATTGTGCCTCAATTACAGTAACTATGCCTATATTTCTGAACTATCTATAGTAAAGACAAGTCATTTGAAATGAAATATTGCTCCCTGGCTCATCATGATAAGAATCTGAGAGGAAGAGGGGAGGAACAGAAAAATGAAGCAGTTGATAAAACATTTAAAGTAACTATTATCCAGTAAATGAATGGGACAGGCAGTTGAAAATGAAAGATAAATTACTATATTATGAAAATTTACTGTGGCCTGCCATAAATCATTGCAACATTTCATTAGCCATTTCCGATAAGTAAATGATCATTTGACCGAGGATATCTCTTTAAAGTGCCTGAATTTGTCTATCTTCATTTGCCAAGGAAGGGTTATCTTAAGTTTATATAACTGCAATGATTCAGGATATAATTCATTTCATATAAAGATACGCTTAATAAAATGTCACCTTGCAGAAGTTTCCACTTTTGAAATTTTGCTGAAGCTCAGCTTTCTAACGAAACAAAGCATTGTTCATTTACTGAGCATGGTAGTCTGCAAACCATAGAATCTAAGTTCATCACACATTCAAAATAATTTTAGACCAATATTTATTATTTATACAATAAGCAATTAAAAACTGAGAAACACAAGAAATCTTGAAATATGCGACTTCTAAAACAGCACATTTCAAAGTTATACTGTAAGAACTTTTTATAATACATTATAAATAAGTAAAAATGCAACAGAGCTCTCATACCAAATATTAGCACTTTTTAAAACTCAAAGAAGGTGGATCTACCAATAATATGCTCTTTACAAGTGATACGTATTCAGTAGAACTAATTTCCAAATGTTCATTGGTAACTGTCCATCAATTTTGTAGTTAAAGAAATGAAGCTCCTGGTATCACAAGAATATAAACACAACTTTTGTTGTATGTTCCATGTGATTAAAAATAAAATTTTACAAATATACCTTTTCACATTTTTGTAAAATATTTTAAAAAATCAATAGGTCTCACCTACATGACACCACATAACATCTTTTCTTTAAAGCCATAAGGTGGTAGCTCTCTAAGAAGACAAATTGAGAAAAAAACATAGGCCGCCTTACAGATATCTTGTGCTGGGCAACTCAAAGTCCTGCAAAAATTTGCTAAGGCATTTATTTACTCCTTACATCCACCTTACTGGTAAGATAGCCTCTCTCTATCTTCATGTATCACCCTGTTTGCATCTATTATTGCAATTACCACATTTCAGTATAATTGTGCTTGTCTTTCTTCCCACTAAACTCTTTGAGAAAAGCAATGGTCTTTAGATGTCTATTCTCAGCAAGCAACAGATTACCAAGTACACTGAAAGTACTCAGTAAATGTGTACCAATGAACACTGAATGAACATTGGCCCACCCTTCACAGAAAAATAGCTACAGTTTACACAAAAAGTTTCACAGATTAATTTTACATGCATATTCAGCTTAACTGTTTTTTCTTTACCTTGTCTATTAATATCAGACATATAATAAATCTGCTTGTCAGTAAGTGTCATGATATCCACTTCAAATTTTTGAGTATTTATAAAAAACAGGGATACAATAGTTTATCCATTTTATTAATGAATGGGAGGGCCTTCACTATGCAGTTAGAAACTGGCATTAGGTTGATGATCTGCTTTTGATACTCATCAGAAATGCTAATTATCGCCACAAAAATTAGGGTAGTCAGTAACAGTGAAGTAGGTTTACATTAAAATCTCAAAAAGGAATGTACTTAAGTGTCTCTAGGTTTTTTTTACACTTACACAAAACTATTCTTACACCACTTGTTAAAAATTAGATGCATGTTCTGTTACTAACAGAGTAAAATCAGTAACATATGTTCCTATCCTTCATCATAAATCAGGAATTATCTTAAGAGATAAAAGGTCCAAGTACAACTTTCAGGGTAAGGGAGAAAGGAAGACTTTTTATTCACCATGGAAAAATTAAAATACTGCTTGGGAGCAGATATTTTTCCACAATCAGTATTAGTAGTGACTATTAATCAGTTCATTTAATTACCTAAGCATTCATCCTCTAAATAATGATTCCTGGGAATAGTAATAATAGCTGTACTGGGAACAGAGATACAAAAGTAACCCTTAAAATGCAAACAATAAAAATGATAGTTATAGTAAACACTCAAAAATAATTTTTTTTTCCATGCAAAGTCTCATTTATCTCTCACAATAAACATGCAAGGTAGCTAGAATTATCCCCATTACAGATGAGGAATAGAGAGTTAGGAGGTTAAGTGGCTACTAAATTGTAAAGATAAGTAGTATGCCAGACTGCATGTTCTCCATCATTTTGATACACTGTCCTCAATGCTTCTTAAAACCAGCTATAAAAGAAAACATTACATAAATGTCTCTATAGCAAGTAATTGGTAATGTTTGGTCTGGAAAGTTCTGAAGCCAAATCATCTCCCCTGCACTATACAGAGTGGGGTTTTGGAGTAGTAATGAACCGCTAGTCCAAATAAAAGCCACAACCAAAGGTCAAAATACAGTTGTTGGAATCTGTCTTAACAGAGTTTTCAAAGTAAGAGTTGAATTATGGGCACATCACCATGATTTGTATAGAAATTGTGCCCCTTTTTACATTATTTACCATAGTGTGTTTATGTATATGTGTGTGTGTATCAAACATAAGGCCAAATCTAGTACAAACCTTAGATTTAAGGCATTTATTATCATTTATCTATCACTTATGTCATCTATATTGAGTTCTAATTTTATTTTTGAAAAAAAATACAAAAACCTGCTGTGATGTTACGAGTTTATAGAATGTTCCAAGTAAGTATATGGACTAAATGTTTCCAAACTAGATTTAGTAAATTACCTCCAAATATCCTCTATAAACCACTCTTAAGAGTTGACCATTATTTTAACATCCTAAGGACAGAAACAAATACTGTGAATTCCTCTTAGAATTTCTTATAAAATGATATTTATATACAATTTTCAGAGAAATATTCCATTCTCTGTGGAAATGTTTTCCATAAAACAACTTTATAGAAAACTGAAAGTTTCCAAGTTCCGTATGTTCAAATATCTTTCACATATTTTAAAAATCATTTGTCCTGCTAATATTTATTATTATTTCACGCAAATCTATACCCAGAATAGTATAATTTAAAACCCAACAATACACAAACACACACTCACAAAAAATACATGCATGCAAATATAGGCAATGAATTGTTCTAGTGTTTTAATTATAAAGGACATCTCAAATTACAAGGAAATTAGATTTCAGAACAAATTCTTAAGCAATATGTACATATATTTTAAGTGCATTTATTTCTATGAAATGACTTTATGATAAGGTAATGCAGTGGTTTACTGTGCAAAACCTAAGATGACTAATTTAGAAAACCTTATTCCCAACTACGCATTAAGAATGAGTCCTCCACCAATTCACTTGTGAAATCAGTTCCACTTTTACTTTCAAGATTTAATAAAAATAATTTATTAAAAAGCAGAAAGAATGACTCAGTGCCAATAATTATAGGAGTATCAGCATATTTCCATAATATACACAAGTAGAGCTGTTACCTGTTGCGTAAACTTCTGTATTTCATCCAGAACAAATTCTACTTCTTTTGAGGTTGTTAATGAAGCAAGATTTCCACTAAGATTATAGCAATAGAGTTTTGCATTGTCATAGCTTTCTCTACTGGAATTGATTCTAAGACAAGCATCCCCGATATGATTCCATCCTTCTCCACAAAGATGAGCTGGTCAAAAGAAAAAATTATACTTATTTTTATATTGCCAAAAAGCATGTTTATTTTTCAGTTATTTCAGAATTCAAAATACAAATTCACTCTGTTTTAAAACTTCCAATAACAAATTAAAATATATCAATATTCCAAAAATTATTTGCCTAATAGTTTAGTGAAGACTGTATACAGAATACCCCAATTTTTTCTTTAATTCTTAAACATAAAATAAGCTATGACTCTGTAACATCTGTTAGGATATGTCAACTGCTGGGTTTTCTGTGTAAATCTAGTGTATTGACATATGGTATCTCAACAAGTAAAATCACTACTGATTTAAGTCCCAATGTCCAATGCAAGTTCACTTTAATAGAAAAATAACCAACACACAGCAAAAGCAATTTCAGTTAGTCCTAAAAGTGAAGCTAATTGTTCTCCAAATCTAATTTCCATAGCTCAGGTGTACTATTTTGATATAAGCTGGGTTCTTTGATCCTTTAACTATAACTGTGGGGAGAGATTCTCATTTCATTTATGGTTAGTAAAGAAGCTATAATGTTTGCTTTCTAATGTTTATTTTTATACAGCTCTTCAGGTCTTTCTAAAGTTCAAACATACTATTCAGTTATAGTAGTTTATCTTTAGAGTCCAAATTGAACTTAAAATGGTGTCTATTTTCTAAAACAGATTTACAAATACATTACAAAGTTATGCTTCAGTTTACACTAGTTAACAATGCTGTGTTAAATTATAATTTAAATACTCATTATAAACACACTCTTAAAGCTTTTGGAATGTTTTGCCCTTCATACTATATACAGCCTGAAAGAGATGTATCATCAAATTCTCTCCCTGAGAGAGAGTAGCTGACAGCTCAAATTAGGTCCCATGCATGAAAAAAATTAAGATGAACTGTTGAGTCAATAGAAGAATGGGTAGACATAGAGATCAGGAACAAAGCAGATGAAATGTTCATTGTAGAATCTAGTATGTCCTCTCTACAATTCTTTCCATTTTTTCCATATCTTTGAAAATTTTCATAATAAAATGTTGGGGGGAAAACATTACAACTTAAAGTAAATGGCATTTTTTTAAAAGTCACAGTCTCGAAAACAAAAGAACAAAATAGTGAAAAGTATGGCATTGTTTCACATTTTTGCAAATCTCTGTAATGTTTTAATATAAGACAACTGTATTCTCATATCTGCTTCTACATTCTATTTATTGGAATCATATATCATATAGCCTTTGGAAAATGCCATAGTAAACCCATGACAGGATCAGAATTTTAAAAGCAAATAATATCATAGTATTATTAGTTTTGACTTCACAGACCCTCTCAAGGGACCACGAACAGGGACCCCTGCTCTTTAATAACTGCTGTCCTATTAAACCAGGTTCCACAAATGGTAATGAACAGTACTGGACCATATAGTAATCCCTCAATAAACTGTAACTGTCATTTAATAAGACTGTTTAAAACCCCTTTGTTTCCACTGTCAGGCTAAACATAGAGCAATCTTCCTTGCCTTCTGGAATGCAAAGTACCGCTTTAAGGAAACAGCACAAACATTTTGATTAATTATGGCTTTTTATTATTTTACTGAACCAAGGAAGGATTTAGATTATTTTTGCCTGTCTCTACTATGAGACAAAAAATACCATCATAGACAAATCACATAAGTGTAAAGCAAATGCACAGGCCTTTGAGGCCAAACTAAACTATACCACTGAACCAAAGGCTTTGAGGTTTCAGGCTTCTGCGGTACCGAGTAGTGCCTCAGCTTTAAAGCTAAAAGGAGAGCAGTTAGCTTTTTAAATGAGTTTAGTGAGATAAATTCAAATTCCCAACTTATATGAGATCAATGAAAAAAATGCAATTCATAAATTTTCATGGAAAAGTGCAACTGCCATATAGACTCGACCCTCCATTTAGAGCATTCACTTCCTTGAGACAAGCTGGATGGAAACTAAACTATATCTATCCATTCGGTTGCCCAGTAAATATGATCACAGAACAAGGTAAGTTAGTTTATAATAAATACTTTATTGTATTTATTGTATTATATTTATTATTCTCCAAAATAGCCAGTCAAGGGAAGCCATTATGCCAAACCAACACATTTTCCTGGGCAATGAGTATATGGCACTACCAAAGTTTTAAAAACTTCCACTGGCAACCAATTCCCTTCTTACTGAAGCAAGCTTCCTTTAAATGTATATATATACTCGTCAAATCTTAGTTCGGCCCAGGATTTACTACATCCTTTTAAAGAGACTTTGCAAGTATTTTTACTGTTCTACATGCTGATTTTAGAGTTTAACAATTAAAAATCAGTATTACTTTCAAGTTTAGCATCATCTTACTATTGCGTCTCAATTCCTGCGCACTGCATTGATACTCTCTTAAGTTTCTCAAAGTGAACACACACGCATATATAATTACTTAAAAGCTTTAAAGGTCAATATATAAACAAAATTCAAATGTAAATAAACATTCCAAAACCTCAGTGGTACTTTTAAAGGCAATTTTATTTTTACTTTATTACATGAACTTGTAAGAAAGACATAAATCCTGTGATGGAATTTTCCAATACTTTTTAGAACTACTTAGGTTTAGAAATTTTTCCATAAAAAAAAAAACAACCATGGGACAGAGAAAGGCAAAAAATCAAACAGAGATAGGGCAACCAGCTTTGTCTACCATTTACAAGGCACGCAATGTTGGGCAAGTGACTTAACCAGTGGGTGTCTCAGCTTATCTGTATAACAAGATGGAATTGGTTAAACATCTATATTGCTTTTCAACTTTCTGATTGTATCTTTTATATTTGAAAGGAACAGTACTTAGGGTCTACTATGAAAAGTGTTAACTGTAAAAAATAAGTTGAAATTGCTTTTTAAAATGAGCTTTGCTTTGATTTGCACAAATTAGATTTTCATTAAATCATACAAAATTTATTAGAAATGTTACAATTTATAAATTTAAAAGGCAGTCAGTAACAAATATGTCAAACACTCACATCTGTTAAATCTATATATTAGTCTGGGTGCTTATTTTTTCTACATTTTTAAGATATACTTTTTTTTAATTGAAAAGGATTGTGATCAAGCCAATAATATAATAAATACAAAAAGCACCTTCAACATCTTCAAGAATTGTAACCAAACAGAAACTTTTCTTACAGGAACAATACTTTTATTATACCAATATTATCATTTGTCTATTATTGATTTAATTTTAGAAAAAGGAATGCTCTTACTAAATGCTGTTTACTATAATGGTGTTCATGTGTGGGCTATACAACTACTTTACCAAATTGAAATCTTCACCTGGTAAAGCCTGGCATTCTTGTTGTCGCTGGTCCCACTGGCAATTCAAGTTTAGTGAACAGCTTTTACAGCTGGTAAGTTTGTTACAAATCTGTTCATTTCTCACATGACATTTGGTGTAGTTTTTCACAGACTAGAAAGTTAAAAGATAAAGCATGTTACTTTTCACCTTAGTATAGCAATGATTCTAAAACTTCAGTATATATAAAAACCACTAGGTGAATTTTAAAATAAAGATTTCTAACTCCAAATCCAGTTTTACTGAATCAGAATCTCTTATCTGTTTTTTAAACTATAGTTCTTGAAATTAGAAAGTGTGTTTATTGTAAAAATGAGCAAATTACACAATTTGAAACAGAAACCATCTAATGAACACCTTTGCTATTGAATCTAATAATAGGCTTCCAATTCAATGAATAAAGCCAATGCAGAGTCATTTTTCTTAATGATCACATAAAAGAATTCTAATCATTATAAAACTATCATGCAAAATCCTGGGAATGAAGTAGAAATGATAAACAGTAAAAATTAAAGAGATTCTTTACCAAAATCCAATACAATCTAAAAACATAGATTATTTTCTCACTAACAAACTAATTTTACTTTCATAGACACTAAATCATGGTTTTGGTTAACTGATGTTTCTCCTGTATGTATTTGTCACATTTCCGGCAAAGAACCTACAGAAGTTATACTACACAATGTAATCATATTAACTAATTCCATCATTAAGAGGTTAAAGGTTAAATATGAAAAAGTGAAAAACAGGCAACAGGAACTTTGGTGGTAGTTAACTAGACAAAGTTCAGATATTTTGTATGATATTATCAATGCCTATGATAAAACCTACCTCATGAAAACAGATACTAAAACTTTTGGCTCAACTCTTCCTGTGACTCTGAGAAAACCCACAAAGGACTTAGTGCTGTACCGGGGGCCCCATGTCAATCTTTCTTTCCTCTATAGGTATAAATACTTACCTCAGGGTTTCTTAGGTAAGAGAGCTAAATATTTCCTTTCAGTCAATGAACAGTTAAAATACAACTATCCTACATATAAAAATGGTTGAAGCAGTTTTTATTTTATCAGATACTTTAAATATCACCCACCAAATATTTATATACTACTATGTTTTCCTATATAAAATACACTGCAGTTATCTCTATTCCAAAGATGTTAATTTTTTAGCGAAAATTACAGTACTTAAAGGTAACATATAAGAACAGATACTAATGCTTATCTTTATTCATCCTAAAAAATAACACAAGATACCTTTTTTAAAATCCAAAATTACTTTGTAATTTTTGACTCATATTCAACCACTACATTTTCATGAAGAACATATTAACTTTCTTATTGTTATTTTTTTCTATCTCATAGCTATTTGTTTTCATTTAGCATATAAATCTTAGTTTTTCTGTATGATTATTAGAGTTCCAACCATTTGCCAAGTAACTGAAAAGAAATCATTTGATTACTTGAATCATCTGATAAATGGAATAACTTATAAAAATGATGAGAATGGCTAAACAGCATTGTTAGAGTAAGAAAAGGAATAACAGCTTAATGCCAGTCTTAGAACAACAGTGGTATAATAATAGATTCAACATTCAAATAAATCTACTGTCCTCATTAAGAACAGTCCGGTCATTTATTGATACAGAACCAGTTCAATAGATGAAATTATATTTCAGTCACACACAAAACCAATTTAATCAATGATGGAAGAAAGCTGACTGTTTTTCTGAAAAATGGCTGGCATTTTTTGGTGTAATGAACCAGATGCACATTAGTAAACAGACTATGAGGAACAACCATTACTCTACTGAATTTCACTCTAATATATTTAGATGTAAATTTTTAATGAAAATCCATGAGAAGTAAGCAGGTTATTTGAGCTGTTAGAGCACAAAATATGCACCTTGCAATAAATATGACTAAATAATAAAAATAGAATATCAATGGACATCATTTACACTAAAATCTCATAGATCTTTTTGTATCCATTAGCATCTACTTTAGCTTAATCAACAGATATTCTGATAAAACCAGCTAAAAGACACATTACATCAGTCTAAACTAAAAGGACCATCTGCTCACTTATATGATCTCACCCAGTGCTATCCTTGATAACACATCATTATCAAAAATAAAATATAAAGCAAAGGCCACTTAATAAAATGAATACTTGGTAGCAATTTACATAACAACTTTTGAGAAATGTGTACTTTCACTTACTGTAAATAAATAAACACAATGCCTAAACTCAGGGTTATCCAACAAAGTCTTAAATAAAATCTGCCTGTAATTTTTACCTAATCACATTCCCCATTTTAGTCTTTTATTCCATATTTTATTTTATTTAACTCCTATTTTCACATTACTCACTAAACTAACTCCCATTAGATGAATATTAACACAAGTATAAAAAAGTCCTTCAAATTTTCAAAGCAAGGTCATGTCATATTAACCTTAAAGCTCAAATAAAATTGAAATACATAGTTATTAAAACAACATATCACTAGAACTTTCACACCTTATAAAAACAGCATGTATGGCGAGAGGGACTAGAGGTTGAACTGATCGCCAATTGCCAATGATTTAATCAACCACACCTGTATAATGAAGTCCTCAAAGGACACTGAAAAAGGTGGCCTTGAAAAAATGACAGAATAGGAAGGCAAGGCAGAAACCTCCCCTCAAAAACACATAAAACATGAAAATATGGCAAATACCACTAAACCTGAAAACAACCCAAAGACTACAGAACTGACAACCTATCTACACTGGGGAAGAAGAGAAGACCCCACAGAAAAGGGTAAAGTGGCAAAGCAGAGATCCGGTGAGACCCAAGCAACCCCCCACACCAGCCCACAGGTGGGAGGAAGAGGAACAGAGCGGGGAAGGGGGAGGTAAGAGCCCAGGAGAGCTGAACACCTGGTCCTGGAGATCTGCTCCAGGCATGAGTCCACATTACATGGTGCTCTTGTGATTAGTGGGGCTGGACAACAAAGACAGGTGGAACACTCAGGGAAGCTGAGATGCAGCCACTTGTGGAGAACAGGCATGCTCTACTGGCCCCACCAGGACAAAAGCAAAGCACTCAATTTAAAAGACTTCCCATCAGCGGGAAGGGCCCCAGAGGGGCCAGGATAGATGGAGCTCACTGCTGAGGAGAAAGGGCAGGTAGACAATACCTTCCCCGCCCACCCTGAGCCCTGCAGGTTGGAAACTCCCAGAAGCTCCAAGTGCTCCATCCTCCTCACTGGTAACATAGCACCGAAACTCCTCCCTGCGTGCACAGCCTGTGCATGGCCCACTTGGCCTGGCCGTGATGTCAGACTTTCTGCCAGGTAGGCAGAGGGAGACCCTCTCAGCTTTCTTGTCCCCATTATGGCCCAATGAGGGAAGTCACTACAGGGGCCAGTTCTGGGAGCTCCCTCCTCCCAGCAGGCACCAGGTCCTGCCCTTCTGCAGCCTGGCCACTGCTGCAGGACAGATGGAGGGCGGCCCCACCCACAGCAACTCCAGCAGCCAACCCCAAGTTCTCCCTACAGGTGCCAGCAGCTGATGCCCCACTTGGCCCAGCAGTAATGTCAGACTTTGCTGCTGGGTAGGCAGAGGGAGACCCTCTCACCTCTCTTTAGGTCCCACCAAGGAAGTGCCAGGGGAAGCCAGTCCGGGAGCTCTTTCCTCCCCAGGGGCACCGGATCCCAAGCAACAGGCCTGGACATATACACACACCAGCCCGCCAACCCAGTGAACACAGCAGCCCCCGCCAATGCTGAAGGCCAGCAGAGGGTGGCCCTGCCCACAGCAACACCAGCAGAGACTTCTGCACTGATTACAAAACCACAGCCAAAGAAAACTGCCACCTGGAATCAGACCACTACAAGCCAGACAGAATTGCATTTCTGTTGCTGCATGGCAACAGCTGGGGCTCCAGCACTGGAAAATAAAGTGTCTGGAGTTTCTGGGCACTAGAAGGTGCTCCTTCATAAAGCTATTACACCATAGGAAGAAACATAGAAACTGGCAAAATGAGGAGGCAGAGGAATACGTTCCAAATAAATCTACAAGGCAAAACACCAGAAAGAGGGCTGATTGAAACTGAAATCACCAGAAAGAGGGCTGACTGAAACTGAATTCTTGATAATGACTTCAAAGTAAAAGTCATAAACATGCTCATGGATCTACAGAAAAATATTTAAGATTGCTGTAAGGTTATCAACAAAAAGATAGAAGACCTGAAAAACAGCCACTAAGAGCTGAAGAACACCGTATCTGACATGAAACATACAATGGATGAATTTAACAGCATACTTTCACAGGTTGAAGAAGTTGTAAATGATGTGGAAATTAGGGGACAAGAAAACAATGAAGCTGAAAAGCAAGAGAGAAAAAAGGATCTCTAGGAATGAAAGGATAATAAAAGAGCTGTGTGACCAATCCAAACACAACAATACTTGAATAACAGGGGTATCAGAAGGAGAAGACAAAAAAGGGATAGAAAGTCTCTTCGAGGAAATAATTGTTGAAAACTTCTCCAAGCTGGGGAAGGAAATAGACACTCAGGTCACAGAAATTCAGAGAGCCCCTAACAAAAGGAACCCAGGAAGATAACATCAAGGCATATAATAATTGAAATGGCAAATACCAAGGACAAGGAGAGAGTATTGAAAGCAGTGAGAGAGAGAAAAAAGATTACTTATAAAAGGAAACCCCATCAGGCTATCACCAGACTTCTCAGTAGGAACTTTATAGGCTAGAAGGGAGTGGCATGATATACTTAATGGGCTGAAATAGAAGTACCTCCAATCAAGAATACTCTACCAGGTAAGATTATCATTTAAATTTTAAGCAGAGATTAACCAATTTTCAGACAAAGAAAGTTGATGGAATTCACCACTACTAAGCCAGCCCTACAGAATGTTAAAGGGACTTTTGCAGATGGAAATGTTCCTAAGGCTAAATAGCTTTCACCAGTGAAAAAAAATCACAGTAAAGGTAGTAGACAAATTAATTCCAAACCAAGTATGAAATTAAATCAACTACTCAAAAAGCAGTCAAGGGATACACAAAAAGTCCAGAATATGACACCTAAAATATAAAGCGTGGAGGAGAAAAAGAAGG